ACAAAGCAGAGCACTTTAAACTTATAAAGTTTCCTCAGAAATGTAGATGTTCTTTGTACATAAAATTTATCCCCGAACTGGTAGCAGCTGTATGTGTAGAGATACAGAAAGTATGAAACAGTAACAACTGTATAAGGAGAGAAAGAGAAAGAAAGATTGCCCTATACAATAATAGAAGGAGATATATAAAGTTTGGCTGTCACAGTAACAACTGTATAAGGAGAGAAAGAGAAAGAAAGATTGCCCTATACAATAATAGAAGGAGATATATAAAGTTTGGCTGTCACAGTAACAACTGTATAAGGAGAGAAAGAGAAAGAAAGATTGCTCTATACAATAATAGAAGGAGATATATAAAGTTTGGCTGTCACAGTAACAACTGTATAAGGGAGAGTTTGTTTGGTATTAAGCACAAAGCTACACAATGGGTTATCTGTGCTCTGCCCACCACGGGCATCGAAACCCAGTTTCTAGCGTTGAAAGTCCGCAGACGTACCGCTGTGCCACTGGGGGGCATAAGGGAGAGAGACATAAAGTTTGTCTGAAACTATACCAGCTGTATTGGAGGGAAGACATCAGAATAAAGCTACCAGTTTGACCGCCAATTTTAATTTCATTCCTTTAAGTCGCACACTCAATCCTTTTTTGGCCGCACCTTTATTCACACCTAAGGTATTTTTGATTAGATATCGTGAAATTCAATATACATTAACAAACAACAACAAATAAGAAAGTGACACTTGATTGTAACCAACATGAGCTTTAGGATCGGAACTCTGTTATTCGGAACAGACCCATACTTTATAAAACCAACCAGATTCTTTAAGATATATGGTGTTTTTTCCTCTCTAAAACTGTGTTAATAGCTTCCTTTATAGTAACGCCATGGAATTTAGATTAACAGTTTCTTGTTATCACCCCATGCAATCGGTAAAGCCGTATCAAGCATCATTATTTACGCTAATTGCATAAGCTAATATCATGTGATGCTAAACGTTCTTTAATTAGGACAATTTCATAAAATTTATCAAAGTTGTGCTTAGAATTTGGCAATGAATAATAACCGTTCACCTGTATGATTCTTTTGAAAACTTGAGCTAGAAAATGATAATTTTGTTTGCTTGGCCTAACCAATACATATGTATCTGAACGTCCTTTCACCCGAGATATTCGTTGCTCTAAATCAGTCATATTTAATCCGAATGACAAAAAAAGCTGTAGTAAAACTTTCAAACCGATAACCCGCGTGACTTTTTGCGTAGATGAGCAAATATTTTGGTTAGATTTAAGCGGCTTTTGTTGAATGACTTTGCATAAGTGGCTTATATTTAGGCCACATTTGACACCTAATTGTAGGTTGTAAAGATCTATTAACGTTCCGAATTTGAAAAAAAAATCCATAAAAGTAAAGTATGTTTTTCTATTAAATAAATTTTACGTACTTTCGGAGCGAAAAAAAATTCCGAATTGGAGATTTTATATCTCGTGTATTTCTTAATGGATTGCCTTGAAATTTGGTATGTGAAGTAAGGGTTCAGTATAGCACATCCTCAGAAAGTATTTATTAGTTTGGATTACCACAATCCGAGCTACAAAAAGTGGAAAATCGCTAAACTATTATTTCTGTTAATAATACACAGCGTGTCCTGCAGGTTGTTTTGGCTGCACGACATTGTACTGTGTGTCTAGATTTATTTACAATTAATAATACTAAGTTTTGTTGAAAAAGTACCAACCTTGTGAGAGAAGGGGGTGACATACAATTTGATGTGAACAGAGCAGCCTTATCGAGGGGAGAGACAAAAAATGTTAATAAACAGTATCAGAGTATGGGAGCAGAGACACCAAGTTTTATTGAAAGAGCACCAGTCATATGAAAGGGAGGACATGAAATTGGTCCAAACAGTATTGAATTTTAAGAAGGAAGAAACATAAAGTCATATGAAAAGGAGAAGCATAAAGTTGGCCCAAAGAGTAACAGCCTTTTGGGGAGAAAGACACACAGTTTAGCGTACTAAATTGAGTTTTTTATACTCTTCTACATACAGGGGATATTAATACAGGGGAACTAGCGTGTACTGGTACAAGAGGAAAACGTGATTTCCGTTTAAAACAATTACGATATTTTTCAACCCCTATCCAGTGCAATGAGTAAAGATAAGACTAATTCTACAGCATATAGCATCAACTGCATGATTTCAGCTTTCTCTGAGAGAAAAATGTGATAAGCACAAAATAAAATAAAAAAAATGAACGAAATTTGTACTATGTTACCAAACATATTTGCCTGATTTTCATAATGAAAAAACAAGAGACGTTAGATATCAAAATACCAGTTATGATTGCGAGGCTAGATTTTGTTTTTTGAATATTATTTTCCTTCCTTTCAAAGTATTTGATGCAGAAGAAAAGATAAAAAAATACCGTATTAGAAGCCCCGCTGCTTCTCTGTGCAGAATAGAACTTGGTAAGCAGAGTTTACACAGTATATTTAATACCGCTAATTGTTCTGTGCAGTGTGTACATTATAACTCTTCAGCACTTGAATGTCTTATGCATTGAGGGAAGTGATGAGCATGTGTAAGCGTGAGTTCAGTGTCTTCATCGAGATTCAGTGGGATATTTAATTATGGTACAGCCTACAATCGTGTATATAATCTCTGAAACAGTTAATAATTGCTTCCACTCTAAGAGAAGACTTACATTCCAAAACTGAATGATACAAGAAAGTTTCATCTGGTCAATACTATAACTAGTAGCTCGTGCTTGACTTAACAATAACAATCGTACTTTCCCGAATGTTATTTTGTTTCATCATTTTTCACAACAACTTTAATAACTTCTCTAGTTTTCTGTTTGATCCTGACTGTAGGCCTAGATTTTAGCGTTGTTTAACATTCGTAAGAGGTAAGCACTACGTAAGCAAATCAATAACGTATGCAACATGCTATCAAATAGACGAGTTTGCTGGAAAGTCTTAGAAAATGTATTGATCTGTGAATAAAATTTCCAATAGTATATTTCGTGTATCAGACACCGAGATTCGTCACCGTTATATATTAAACCACCAGTATCGTTGTCACTAACATTATTGAAAGACAAATCGCATTCATTTCTGATAATAGGTAATTATGTTATATCTTAATTCAGAGAATAATTTCAAAGGCTTGAAAGATTGGTTATTTTGTCACTTACTTTTTGTTCTCTTTTATTAGAGTTCCCTATGACCCTCTCGAAAAGCTTAATCATGAAAGAATGGTTATTTTGTCACTTACCTTTTTGTTCTCCTTTATTAGAGTTTCCTATGACCCTCTCGAAAAGCTTAACTATGAAAAATTGGTTATTTTGTCACTTACCTTTTTGTTCTCCTTTATTAGAGTTCCCCATGACTCTCTCGAAGAGCTTAATTATGAAAGAGTGGTTATTTTGTCACTTGTATTTTCGTTCACTTTCATTAAAGCTCCCTATGACCCCACTTCTGGCCTACGAATTTCTTGATTATATCAAAATAAAATTTTATTCATCTTGTGTTCTCTCAATAGGCTACATTTGTTATTATTGAATAAAAACTTTAAATTGTTAATGTAATATTACCCTTAATACGCTGATGTATGTATGGTATTTAAATATATATCTCCTTTTATACTTTGTAAGCATATTTTGCCATCTTTCTGATGATATGCCAATAAGGGGCAGATATATCGTAAGGCATAACCATAAGTTATGGTGATACGAATTCAATGTCATAATTAGTAACCTGTCGTGTTACTTGGGATAACTGTATTATAATACACACGCCTACACAATTATGTATCTAATATAATGTTACCATTAATTTCTAGATAACTCACCAGCAGACTAATTACTGCATATAGACTTTATTTAACCCTGAAAACTATGATGGTTATAATTTTTTTTAAACAGATGTACCGCCTAAGCTTTACTACTTAGTAGTATCTCAAGAACTGATTATTACAGAACATTAGTTTCCTGCATATGCCGTTTGAAAGATAATAACACAAGCCTGCGATAGTTTTATTGTCTTGAAATTTTTACATTTTTTACAGTAATTCCTGTACGCTGAATCCGAAAATGATATCCACTTTTCTCCATCACGTACAGATTTTTCACAGAAACGTCATAATGCAATACATTAAAGGAAGACCACAACACGTTGTTTTGAGACTAAAAGACGTAGATTTCATACAAAAAATCAAGATGAATAAGGATGCATATTCGTTTCAAATCAATGTTCTTCCCTTTTCTTCAGTTTATTTGTACTGTCGTTAACAAACGTAATAATAAAAAATGTTCATTGTGGTAAACGAAATAATAATTTGATCTAAGTAAGGGTGTTCTTTTTCTTATCGATTTACGTGATAGAAAAAAATGAATACTATTTTAGAAGTCTGCATAGCTGAATTATGGAAAATCCGTTATTAAAACCAAAACAACTTTTAAGAAGTTTAAATTCGCAGGCCTGTGTTATTATTGTTGCTGTTGTTCTTTTGGAGAAAAGCTACATAATTGGCTATCTTTTCTCTGTCCACCTCGTGCATCTAAACTTGATTATGAGCGTTATAAGCCCTCACCCTTACCCCTGAGCTATCATATTTGGTTGGGGGGGGGGGAGATTTGGGCTAATAAGAATTACTATTCAATATTTAATTACTTTTAATACTTCAAACATCTTTTCACCAAAATCTGTCAGATGGTCTTAACCAGAAGTAAGCGTTTTGATTGTTGTAAATTTTTATTATCTTTTTTTTTTCTCTGAGCTAGAATTGATAGTAATATAAAAATATAGTTTTAGTAAGAGTTTTGTACTGTTGTTTACACAATTGTATGTTTATTTTTCGAGAATGTAACAGAAACGATTCGCTTCGCATATAAATTACGTTTTAAAGAATAGTTAGAGTTTGTTTGTTTTTGCGTTTATTCGTTGGTGTTTGGTTTGTGCAGAATATTTTACAGCATCTATGTGTTTGTTTTCTTACCAGTTAACTTATGCTGATACTCACCCGATGTACACAATGGAAAACTACCCGAATTTTTTTCGGGTAGTGCCAAGTGAAGCTGCCTTCAACCCAGCAAGAGTGGCACTATTGCAGCACTTTAACTGGACACGTGTTGGAACACTCTACCAGAATTCACCGCGATACGCCCTGGTAAGCTTAACTTCCTATGTTAGTGGTAAATGTCTATTGGGTTCGTGACCATCGTGATTTACTCTGCGACTTGTGATCGAGTTTCTTGTTCTAGACACAGCCTTTGTGTCGTCAAGGGAATAATGTTTCAGGACTTTCCTGACTTAGTACTAGCTAGACTCAAACGGCATAAAGCATCAAAACGGGTGAAACAGCGTTTTCGAGCGATTGGTTTCCGGTGTAACTTTCAGAACTGAACACTTACTGTTTGTATAAATGCATCACGGAAGTGTACGAAGTGTCAGATCCAGAAGGAACTTTTGTTGTTTTGGATCACTGAGATGACCATTGTCATCGTTGAGGCAGATTTATTGTACACAAAACAAAATTATATATCTTTCCTGGGTGTCACAAAGACAATCATTGTTAAGGTAAACCTGATTTATCAAAAACAATGCCTTCTACAACTTTACCCAACAAAGTGTTACACATCCAACATTATGTTTGCTGATTAGATAATACAAATATTCCCGCTAGGTTATATATTTGTTTTATATGAACACTAGCTTACTCGGTAACATATTTAACACTATTTATTATCATTACATATATGTATCAATATTATGAAAGATCATGTTGTTAGTGTTTTCACAATGATTACAATACATTAGGGATAGGTAACTAAATAAATGATTGCATACAATGTATTCAAGAAAGCCAAAGTTGTCGTGTACTCAATATCATACAGTCTTCACTGTATCCACCCCACCACTTCCATGGAGCTTCAGAACACAGACACACACACTTTCACTGAACTACCACCATATTATCACCACCATCTTCATGAATGTATGTGGAACACATTTAATTGTCTCTACAGAGTTGCTTGGTACATATTCAGACATCTTCATGAAACTAATTTCAGGATATTTTACCATCTGTAAGAAATATCATATATTTCTTTTTTTTACTTAGCTTATAGAACATATTCTACATGTGTATGTAGTTACGTAGAATAAATTTCATCTTTTTTTTACTTAGCTTATAGAACATATTCTACATGTGTATGTAGTTACGTAGAATAAATTTCATCTTTTTTTTTACTTAGCTTATAGAACATATTCTACATGTGTATGTAGTTACGTAGAATATATTTCTTTTTTTTACTTAGCTTATAGAACATATTCTTCATGTGTATGTAGTTACGTAGAATATATTTCACTTTCTTTATGGCGTTTCCAGATTATACTCCATGGACGTACGTGATATGTATCCATCGATCACTGTGTAACTAAAAAATACGTAAATATATGGTTTGTAATGAGCCATTTCCACAAAATCATACGGAAGCCTGTGGAATATACTCAACTGTCTCCATGGGATATCATCAATCGTTTGCACGAGATTACTACAGATATATTTCATATTCTACATGGGAAGTACACTACTATCTTTATGTAGGTGTTTTTTATCCTATCCTCACCAAAGGACTACATGAAATATTCTATACCTTTCCCCTCAGAGCTACATTTAATATACCTACTATCTCAATATAACATGATATCTACTCACTCATTTATATAGAATTTCATGGACTCTGCTCTACCATCTTCACAGAAATGCATCAGGCTTCTTCACTGTGCAACATGCTATACCACCTGCTTCCTTGTCTTATGACTGTAATAATAATTTTCAGTTTACCAGAACGTAAATGATTCAGTTTATATTAACATTTTATTTATGAGTCATATATTGATAGATACTTACTGAATGTTATACACTTTAGGTCCGATAAATGTCTGGGATACTTGCTGTCATTTGCGAAAAGTTTTATTGTGCTAGAAGACGCTGTACTTTATAAACAAGATACACAAGTAAACAAACAAACGGACGAATAAACTGACAGATAGATAGATAGATCATTTCGTTTATTTTATTTTCTGTGAATCAGTAACTTTTGATCAAACATCGTATTTATGTATTATTCATAAAATTCTCCATATTTTTTTCTCGCTCAGCCTCACAGTAAGCTGTTGACAGAGCTCGAGACAGCGAAAATAGAAATTGCCGCACAGTATGGTTTCGTTGACGAGCTGAGATCGGCTATTCAGAAGCTAAAGGTAAGTTTGCCTTATAATAAATAAGTAAAACATTTCATTAAGGTGTATAGTACAATAAAGAATTATTTTCATTCTGTATATAATAACCCAACTCTTATCAAAACCACATAGCCTTTCATTTATATGAACAGATAAGTAATGTATTTGACGCGGCAATATTAAGACAAACTATTTGGAAATGTACATAATTTATATTGTTAAAATATGTATTGCAAAACTCCCGCCTATTCTCTAAAGTTGTATAAGATTCTCAAGTGTAAGAAGCAACAATATATGTTCATACGTAAACGCTAGTGTTAGCGTCAGTATTGTTACGTAAACTGAAATTTCAAGAAACTCTCCACACGCCTATAAATATAACCAACGCAACGCGCCAAAAAACAGTATCTGTTATTGGTTTGCTATAGTTGGTATACTACAAAACTCGGAAGCTATAATTGTGATTAACGCTTATTAATCGGAAAACTTCAGATACTTGACCAGGAACATTTATAAATTTCGAACATGATAAACCATTTAACACAGTGGATTCACATCGGACATTAGAACTTTTAAGTAGACATTATATAACTTCAGCGGTAAAAAACTCAAACTCGACCTGTAATCGGCGTGTGATCAGCGAGGTCCACAGAGCTAGCTGGCTAGCTCCCTATTAAGTGAATTATACTTACATAAACTCGAAATTAACTCGCTCATCGTGAACCCTCTATAAGACAACAAGGAACTTCCAGACTAGAAAGAAGACTTTATATTGTTTGTAAGTTTGTAAAAACTTTTGTATATAAATCATTGTTTGTAATAGCTATTTGTAATAACTGTTATTGTAAATTGTATTGTTGTTTGTATATTAAATATATTTGAATAGAAAAAAAAACTGTGTGTATCAATCTTGTTGGCAAATATGATAACTTGGATATATATCGGCATTTATTTAACTACTAAGTCTAAACTACAATTTAACTCAGTTTTAGGCTATTTGAAATTGTAATAAGTAATAAGCGTTACATATGAACTAAACCTTATTTTAGGAGTTTAGCGTTACATATGGACTAAACTTTATTGTTGAAACTTTGCATTACATATAGACTAAACTTTGTATTTGAAGTCTTGCGTTACGTATGAACTAAACCTTGTATTAGGAGTTTAGCGTTACATATGGACTAAACTTCATAGTTGGAGTTTTGCGTTACATATGGATTAAACTTTGTATTCGGAGGTTTGTGTTACATATGGATTATACTGTACTTGGAGTTTTGCTTGTGCATGATTTTTAGATGACAGCTAATATGCAACCTACGGTTCATATCTAGTGAGGCTAGTAATAGAAAAGTAAGCTATGACGAAAAGTAAAAGAAAAATCTTATACAGTTTCTTTATTGATATTTTTCTTCGTTATTTCCTTCAAATAAGTTTAATATGAAATTGAGCAGGCACATGTGGTTATTTTCCGAAAAAAAAAATTAAGAAAATCTTAAAACGTTTTATTTATACCTTAAAGTAAAAAATAAATAAATTTACAGTAAAAAACTTCTAAATTTTATTTTTTTCCTACTAAAATAATTTGACAAAATTTCTCAATAGATTGTATTATAGTTTATGCATTTGATCAAGTGCTATGAATACTTATTATATTGAGACAAAGAGTTGGAAATATTAATTTCTTTTGAGGTATATTTACGACTTTTTTCTGCTAGTGTTCACGGTAATCCTCCAAAATTTTAAGATTCAGGGACGTCTTACATTTTTTCTTGATCCATATGCTGGTAAAACTCATATTAAGTTGTTTAGATTCATATAATTTTCTTTAATAGTTTTTTTATGTCAGATTTCGTGGTAATTATTTTGAAATTTCTTATTTATAGAAACCTTTAACAATGAAAAATAAAAATAATTACAATTTGTGATGCTGTGCTAATTCATATTTATTTTAAAGATCTGAATTTTAGATCTTAAAATCCCGTGCATGTAGCGTAAGATTTTGTCCTTTTTAAGTTATTGTTTGATGTTTTTATCTCATTATTTGTACTCGAGCAAGAACACATATATTGTCAAAAGTTATACTGTTTTTTTTTATTTAAAAATAATTCTTATCCATTTTAAACTGTCTTATTTGATTGGTTTTATAGTGGCATTCTCTCTACTATTGAAGCAGACTAATTTCTTAACAAGAACACTGGAAGATTGACTATTATAAAACAGTTTATTAGATTTCATTCGTAAAACAGAAATATATGCCAGATAAAGCCCTTGTAGTGGGCTGTACTATATTTCTTTAATAATCGCTTAATTTTTTTTTCAGTTTTGTACGACTTAAACTTCGTTATTAATTTTTTTTCATAAACCTGTCTTCAAGTTTTAATAATATGTTGTACAACATTTTGAACCGAATAACTGGAAAGACTGTCACTTTACAACATGGCAGCACTAACTTTGGACCTTTCGATTGACAGCCTGGCACGCTTATAACCACTAGGTTACGCTCGATCCCTTTTTATTATTAAAGAAACCTATGAGGAAAATTATAGAAAAAGTTTCAAGTTGTCTTGAGAACGTTATTTGATCAACATTTTATTATGTTCTATCTCTGTTTTATGGTTTATAAAAGGAAGTATTCCTTTATTGACACCAAAAACTTATAAAAGATGATAAAATTGATCTAAAACTTAGACCGTATACTATGATTATTACGTATACATTACGTTACATCTGCTACTAAAACAGCATAATGCAACTATGGCATAAACTTGATGTTGCATTATTACTTAATTACTTAAACGGTATGCCGTAACTTAAATAGAATATTAACACTAATACTACATATACGTGCGATTACTACACAAACAGTATTATGCTGCTAATATTTAAACAATATATTGCAAGTATTACATAAACAGTATGTTGCTACTAATATTAAGTATATTGCCAATTCTGAGTAGTAGATATTTAAATCCTTGACAGCACGAACAATCGGTGCAAAATCGTTAACTTAATCGTTACCAATATACTCTGTAATAAAAGCACGTAATCAGAGCGAGGACAGATGCTGCACATTTAGTTAATGTGAAATCGAAACTAACGTAATATAGTTTAAGTTACTAATGTTATTATACAACTGTACGCTGAACAGCAGCTGGCGTATGATTACAGTCACAACTTTAGTGTGTGCAAGGAGTGTAATAAATGCTATAAGGAAGGCTAGAAATATTTTACATAGGTTGCTCTCTAAGTATATACATATATATATTCATAAAATAGAAAGATAAAAATTTACATATAAAAAATGTCTGTTTTGTTTTTAATCTCGCGCAAAGCTACACGAGGGCTATCTGCGCTAGCCGTCCCTAATTTAGCAGTGTAAGACTAGAGGAAAGGCAGCTAGTCATTACCACCCACCGCCAACTCTTGGGCTACTCTTTTACCAACGAATAGTGGGATTGACCGTCACATTATAACGCCCCATGGCTGAAAGGGCGAGGATGTTTTGGTGGGACTGGGATTCGAACCCGCGACCCTCTGAGTGCGAGTCGAGCGCCCTAACCACCTGGCCATGCCGGGCCGTTTGAAGAATGAAACAGGTCTATTGAGGTGTGTGAATCGTACTGAACGAGTATTTTGTAACAGAGGCCTGGTCTATGTTCGTTGTTTATATGAGAACCAGCCCACTTACAAAGAATACTGAAAGAGTTTCTCTGAGTAAATATGAACATGTCAGATCAACAGACTAAATGCTGAAAAATGTAAGTGGTTTGTTATGTTTCTCTGACTGAGTGATCTCTTAGAAATGTGAGACACGTTTTATCAGATGAACCATCCTCTTGTTTGTTGTTACATTCGCTGAAAGTAGAAGCATTTTTTTCAGGAGAGAAAAAACAATACTGGATATTCTTTACAAAAACATTTGTTATTTGATCTCCCACCAGACAACATTCTCCTTTCCTGCTTCAATTCCTTCTATTTTCACTATTTCTAAAAGTCCATGCACTTTTGTTGCGGAGTTGTTTATTGGGGTAAGTATAAACTTTTGAAAATGGATTCTTGTCGGCTTGTTTGTTTGATGTTAAGTGCAAGGCTACATAACGGGATTTCATTCTGAATAAATGATTATAGTATTTCATTAAGATGTTAATGTTAAATTTACATCTGAATGTTACATAATTCCAAAATATATCAGAATTTGTTATTTTTATTTCAAAATTATGAAACATATCGTATCTAACTGACAACATTATAACTATTATAGACCTCCAGAGGAATAAAAGAAAACCACGTGAGAGAGAGCAACTTCAATATTTGAAAATAATTTAATTGCGCTGACGTTATTTTTTATTTTTGGAAAGGTTCTAAAAGTAAATTGTTAAACAAAGTAATTTCTTTATGAATTAGTTAAGCGAGAGTTGGGTTGTTTTGCATATTCAAATTTATTCATATGGGAAATTTCATTTAGTTATAATTACACGAATTTTAGTCTTTGAAAAGAACTTTATTACCCTGGCACTGTATGAAAACAGCTTGAATATAAAACTATTGATAAAATAACATTTTCTATTTGTTACGAGCAAGTGCCGCGGAAACTGATTTTTTGCATATCAAGTTTTTATTACAGAGAATTTCATTTAATTATAACTAAACTTAGAAACGTCATTTCAAACTATTTTCTTGTTAGCTCTATTGAAATTGCTATATAATAGTTTCACTGCTAATATGCAAAGAAAAAAGATAATAGAAATTGATTGAAAAAACAAACAAACTTCGGCTCCAAACAGACGAATTACTTGAAAGTAAAATTGAGGCATTCTTACTAATATAATATTTCGTTACAGAAAAATCTTGATAAATATTGTGATATTGAATGTATTTCAGCTAATAAGTGCTTTGGATTGGAGCTGATTAAGGAACGAAATATTCTTATAAAAAACGAACATTAATTTGAAAAAAGATATGCTGCCCGTTTTTAAGGAAATTTTGGATTTAAAAAGAAATACCAAATAATAGATTCATAA